TAATAACCTTCCAGAACCAAACCCACCCCCTAAAGATCCCTTCGCAGGATTGGTGATACGACCTCCTCACTGCTCAGCATTATTATGGTTGGTTGTCTTGCATAGAGGAGCGCTATAAATAACATGCATGGGTATATACTGCTGTAGGCACTCACATTGACAAAAAAGGAGTTACTGCTTCGATGCTGAAAGAACACTGCTGGCAAGTCACTCAACCACACCAACTCTTGGACGCAGGTTAATTAAGCGTCCACTGACTCTCTCACTATCTCTTCGTCGGCAACAGGTAGTAGTCTTGAACTTCTATATTTATTACTGTTTTTTTTTCTTAATATCACATAACAAATCCATCTCCATCTATAGAAATAAGTCTAAGATAGATTAGCAATGAATCCATAGCGTGAGCGAAAGGCTACCTGTATGACTACGGTTGCCCAGACAGCATACAACGATAACTCCCCTGTGGGTAACAGGCTCAACAAGGCAGTTTGGTATCTAATACTACTACTACTACTAATGATAATAATAACAATAATAATAATAATAATAATAATAATAATAATAATAATNACTACGGTTGCCCAGACAGCATACAACGATAACTCCCCTGTGGGTAACAGGCTCAACAAGGCAGTTTGGTATCTAATACTACTACTACTACTAATGATAATAATAACAATAATAATAATAATAATAATAATAATAATAATAATAATAATAATAATAATAATAATAATAATAATAAATAATAATAATAATAATGGTGAAAATAATAATCATAATAATAAAAAAAATAATAAATGGCCCATGTATGTTTGTTTATGGTTTCCAAATCTTTATCTTCTTTTTTGTGGACAACTGTTGCCTTTTTCGACCTTGTGGGCAGTTTGCCTCCCGAACGAATGCGAATTAGCTGTTCGACCTTTCAGAACAGTCACAGCTTTGGCTGAGATGTCTACAGATCACCTACATTTTTCGCCAGCGCCCAGGTTTGATTTTTCCAAGATGCGCGATTTTCACGCAAGATTTTTCCAACACCACCAGCTTTTTGACAGATCTTGGCCCAAGATTTATTTGCTCCGAGGCTTGTCCGAGGTGGCCTTTCGGCCGAATCTTCAACATCTATCTTGCTCTGCTGGAAAAAAATCAAGCGTGGACCCTGGCGAAACAAATAGGCGGTCTGTATGCATCTCAGGCAAAGCTGTGACTGTTCTCAAAGGTCGAACAGCTGATTCGCATTCGTTCGGGAGGCAGACTGCCCACAAGGTCGAAAAAGCCAACATTTGTCCAAACAAAGGAAGATAAAGATTTGGGAACGATAAACGTGGGCCTGAAAGTACAACGTAACATAATGTCGAAATCATGGAACCGCGAAGGGGTTCCGCAGATGAGAACATATTGCCTGCAGAGTGGCTTGGAGAGAGCACCCACTCACTGGTGACAAGCCTTCCCAACCCTAACGGAGGGGAAAGTACGGTGGGAAAAACAGCCGTCCCACCCGCCCAACGGTATCTAGACTATTTGTTTGTTTTGTTTTGTTACCGGGTTTATTATTTTCTGCGCGATTGCCGCTTTGACGACACGGAGGACGCCAACGCGGGGGTAGTAACCCTGGGTGGAGTGAGTCTCTTAGAGTCTAGGCTTTTCGTAGCCAGAGGCCTCATTTCATCCCAAACTCCACATCGTCGACCACTACTGTCCCGCGGTACATTGCTGGTATCTGTTTATTATCTGATGTATGTGTGGGAAGACTCCGAATGTATGTAAGCAGTAGATCCCCGACAGGTCTTCTTCTGACGACGCAAAATCTACACGGACGGCCTGTGAGGATGATGAATAGAAAGTGTGTTGTGTATGGTAGGTAGACTATGCATACATCATCAGCCGGCTGTAGAGTGTCTTCACTTTTCAATCACAATACAAAAACCTTACAATATTAGTATAAAGGAAAGCACTCCGGAAGCACCGCGCCGCAGCAACAAGCAAGCAGCAGTGGGAAGGGGGGGGGGG